TAGGAATCCAAACAAGCAGAAGCAAATTAATAAATGATGGCATGGGAATTACAACAAAATGGATTGACGACTCGCGGGTATGATTCTGAATAATAACGTTTTACAATCTATTCAAGAGCATTGCTAACAGGTGAGACTTAGTTTACAGTATTGTCAGAAACATTTATAAAATGCTTGTTACTTTTATGAGTTGTACTTGTTATTTCATGAATTGATTGTTGCAGTTCCTTTTACATATGTTCTCAGTGCAACCAGGTTGTACTCCTCATCATAATCACTGCTCTGTTCACAAGCTACAGGAGTATAACATGCATTTCTAAAATCACAGCTTGCTTCAACATTTGTCCTGTTTCAATCTATTTTCTTATTACTAATACAACCTAAAATAGATATGGAAAATAACAATAAAAAAGGATTCCCAAATTCCTCCATCAGACTGAACCCAACAACATTTCTATGTTAATTCCAGTTGTCTTAGCATCTAAATCAAAAGGCTGGGAAACTACCTGTGAAAGCACACCAACTCCTATTTGAACTGAACTTTTATGTGCTGACCCTGAGCCAAGTCCTGCTGTCTAACGGTACTGCAGTTTTCTGCACACTACTACAACGCTGAATTCCAAGGCTGGGAAACTACCTGTGAAAGCACACCAACTCCTATTTGAACTGAACTTTTATGTGCTGACCCTGAGCCAAGTCCTGCTGTTTTCTGCACACTACTACAACACTGAATTCCCTTTGTCTCACCATACTCAAACTGCCTGCACAAAGGCGTAAGAAGCAGAGCTCACAAAAGATGATTTGAGTTGTTTTCAAAAAATGCAACACAATACATTTTGGCTGTGGTTCAATTGCATTTTAAAATGAGAAAGTTCTGACCATGTTCATAGTTTTAGATCTACTGAGCAGCAACATTTAAGGAGAGCAAGTGAACTCAAAAGTTTTCAGAGAGGTATTTTCATCTAGTCAGTGCACAGTAATGTTTGTTTGTTCCAAACAAGACTGCCCAAATTCAAGTGTCAAATACTTGCAACTATCTCATCAAGAACAGATTACAAACAGGAGATTATTCAATTCCTTGTTGAACAACCTAGAACAACAACTCTGAGAAAAATCACAAATAATTCTTGGGTTGTCTGTGAATATAAAAATAGAGTTTTCAAATAAATCCTTTGATCTGAATTACAGATTCATGTACCCAATGATACAGTTACATAATTTTGAGTACCATCATTCGTTTTCCCTGTACTATTCTTTTGGCTTCTCAGACGTCCCCAAAAGCATCCATTGTCCTTTACTAGCTAAATGAAAAATACTTTGCTGAAAAATTTTGTTTGGAAGAAGCATGCCATATAGGTCTTTTCCCATTCTATGCATTACTTCATTGCATTTCTACACCTTATTTAATTTCATTTGATTTATTGCATGACTGTCTTCTGATGCTACAGAGGAGGCGCACTCGAGGGACATGGACCAGACATTAAGAGTTTCTCTCAAGCATCATATGCATGTACAATAACTTATTAACAGAGATTAGAGACACTGCTAGGTGGGAGCCATCAGACACCTAACAATGACAGAGTAATGAGGTGATTACGGTCTTCTCATTCCTCCTCATCTATGCTAACTGCTGCAAATCACAGATTACAGACTCCAGCTACTCCATGAAAAAAAGCTGTACACCGTATGTGCCCTATGGAGGCCCTTCATTATGGACCCCCTATATTAACCTATTTAAGAAACAAAAAGTCATTTCTATCCCTCTAGACTAAGTGGAATTAAGACTGCTATGTCCCTGAAATTCATACAAGCCCTTACAAAGAGAGATCACTTTGACAGGGAAGTCGTCTTTGACAGAGAAACCCTGCAAACTGGAGTCGGACCCATGTCTGACTCAGGACTGAGTTGTTCAAGCTTCAGCTCAGGCCAGCAGCAGCTTGTTACCTGGGTCAATACCTCAAAATTCTTCTCACCAGAAAGAACAGCTTTTTAAAATGGAAAGAAAGGACTCAAAAAGTGAGATTTCAGTTGGAGAAAGAGGTTAGTTAGCCGCTGCTCCCCGCTCAACTCCAAACAGGTTCCTCCCAACCCGCTCTCACAGCATGGGCTGGCACCATGAGCATGCAAGAGACGAGACATTGGGAGAAAGACACTGGGGAGACCAGAAGTGGGACAGAAAATGGCTGATGCTTTGTTAACTTCAATCCCTGTCTATCAACATAAATCAGACAAAGATGCACCTCCAAGATCCACATTGCTGGAGTGAAGTTTAGGCCAGCAGGATCCCCACAGGCTCTGCTGGCACCAGGAAAGTCCTCTATCACGGGAGACAAAACTGAAAAATACGGCCAGATCCCTCCCATTGCAGCCGATGTAAGTCAAGCTCATTTTTAGCAAGGTCAAAAACAGTCCCCTCATGAAAAATGCCTCAGGTCTCTGAGCCATGGAGTGCAGTATGCAACAGTCCAGTATTGCACAGCAGATCATGGGCTGGCGAAGGACACAGGTTCAGCCACGCTGTGGATGGAGGGAGAGGAGATGGGCAAGCGGAAGAAGCCATGATGCCAAGCTCTTCTGCAGTATGGCTGACCCCAACAGGACTGACAGATTAGCTACTTCTAATTTCTAAAGAGAAGTGAACTAACACAGTGCAGCAAGAGGAGGAGAGCATCATGCCAAAACGTCTGGCATATATATGAAAATGAAGACATCTTGCAGTCAGGGATACACAGAAGACCCAAAGTACGCTAATCAACATACTCCAGGCACAAATGAACTGTTGTTAAGATGATGATACATTGGATTTTGTCATTTAATGGGGTCCAAAAAGATGTATTTTTTTTAACCCCTTTTGGCATTCAGTGGGAATACTGAGCAACAATGCCAGGCACGGATCACAAAATGACTGGATAAAAGACTGGATTTTAGGATACAGAGCTGAATTCTACAAAAGATGCTTAAGTAAATGAAAATACCAGCACATAATGCAGCTACCCTAAATGCTTTCAGCAGGGAAGTTACTTGCACAGAATTTTGAACTGTATAATGCTATGCATTAGTATACGCCTTATGTTATTTTACCTATAATTGATACATCTCACAGTTTCACACGACTCCCTGCTGGCTTCCCACTACCAACTAACCAACTATTCCAGGCAAAACATTTTATGCAACTCTGCTGCTTACTCCTGCTTTTATCCAAGAAAACAGACCATTTATTGCAATGGGAATCTAGTTAAAAGAACATTACAGAAGGAAAAAAGACTATAAACAAAGCAACTAGTATTACTGGATTGACAGAAGAAGAAACAAATTGACTTTTTTTTTTTCCAACTTTGACTTTAAGGACTCTGCCAGTCCTATCCTACTGGATCAAAAATTCAGAAAAGTTTAAAAGTAGTATTAACCAGTGCTTTTAATCCACCTAGTGATCTGGATATTTCCTTGTGAAACCTTCTCAATTAGAATCAGACAACGATCATGTCTAGTGACGTTTGCCTCGGTTTGGTGGGGCAGGAAGAATGTCGCAACGTGGGGGTTTTTTTTTGTAACCAGAACATGCACAGAGTAATTGAAGTGAAAAAGGGTACTGTGAAACTTCCAGTATCTTCTTAAACAATTAAGTGAAGAAGAGACACTTCAAAGGCATGGCTTCTTAAGGATCATAGCCACACAGTACAGTTTGATCAGAGATCAATGAGCATCTGCCATGTTATATGCTTTCCTTCTGAGTCGCAATTTGGAGCATAAAAATGGATTTTGGCACAGTTTTGACAGTCTGAAGTACATGGTGCTCCTTAGCAATACAAGGCTCCATCTGCACACATCACTGCAGGACCGTACCTACTGTTATGATCATACAGCAGAAGAGACCACTCAGACAAAATTCAGAGATGGCTCTTTGTGCTCCACTATATTCTGGATATGTCATTTTATAACAGTTGAAGATTTTTTTTGCCCCATTTTCACAAACTTACAAGAAAACCACATGTATTTTCAGTGTATTTCAGGAGGATCTGTGTTCTTCAGACAAAGCAGCCATCACTTCATTCTGTCAGATTCTAATGCCTTGTAGATGAGACACTACTTTTAACCACTTGCCAATTAACTCCTTTTATTATCGACTTGAAATTGTTCCCTGTGATTGGTCTGAGCACCATGTAAAAGAAGACTTCTCCATTTCAGATATAATATCAGGCTCTAAAGTTCCACAATTTTGCCACTTTTGAGATGATAGCACAGTCTCACTGTGACTAAGGACTGCAAAACCATGCTCCATGTAATCGAATCTAAAGATCTGACAACACTGACCTTTTCAAGAAATGAAACTTTTGGCTGAGGTTCAAACCATGCACGAGAAATAAGCTCTTGTTAGTTGTTTGTAAACGTCATATAAAAATGTACTTATTCATTATTAACAACTTGCAAACTGAATACACTGCAGGTCTCAAACTGCTGCCAAGTCAAGTCTTACTTAGTATGAACATTTCATTTACATGTAATTCTTGTCTTAATTTTGGTAGCACAACTGAGCATCCCTTCTCATGACTGTAAGAAGATAGTAACAAGATAAACATTCAGACCACACACTAAAAACTGACTACAGAAAAAATTCTAGGGACCAGATTAATTTTGCAAATGCCTATAGTGCTGCTGGCCTCAGTGACAGCCCTACTTCAGTACAAGATGTGTGAAAAAAAGGATTCTAGGGAGAACCAGGCCATTGGTATCCCACTGTTGTTGTGATAAGGCCAGCAGTGACAACACATGACCTGTACGAGTGAGCCACCTCCTTTAGAATTAGAAGGCTTCAAGCAAAATCCCCAGTAATATCAGCACTAGGCTTTTGTGAGCATCGCGGTCAATGCAAAAAACTGAAAGTTTCATAAAAATTCAATAAGGAGCTATTGTAAGTAATTGCAATTGGTCTGCAGTAGAGTGCCATTTTTTTAAGTAGGCACAAAAAAACATGGGGCTTTTACGCCGATATCGTTACATACCTTTCCTGTTCTTGCATACAGCTTTCAGGACGCGGTTTCCAGGTCCACATTTTCCATGGTAAGTCACACATGTTCCTTCTGAAACAATCCACTCATGACACATCGGGTCTTCACAAGGAATAGATTCAATTAAATGTGGACAACCTGCCACGGTGCCTACAGGATCTACGATCACTTGCCTTTGTCTCATTCTAAAGCCTGGAAAAAAGAGAAACTGAATTAACAGGACAACTGTAAAAAATATTTACACCAATAATCTAGTAGCAAGAGGACTACATAGGGCATCTGGAATTGGGGGATATAAAGACAAACAAGAGCACAACACTTACAAATTGAATTGATTGGGACAGTACTTGTCTGTATGTGCCCACAGTCTGGGCATGCAAAATCTAATAGTGTGTAAAGAATTCCAACAACCCACATTTTTCACATTTCTTTTTCCTTTTCATTAACATTAGATAGAAAAACACATGTTCAAATATAGGAAATTGCCACTGATGTGTATATTAATGTAATAACAACATTAAGATAAAAAGAAAGAAACAGTTAAGGAATTGAAGATATAAAGGACATCTATATTCTGTCTGGGAATCCACTAATGAAAAGACTTGTTTTGAGATACAGCAGAGCAGTTTACTAGGAAATTAGTATTCTGCCTTACGAAGGTGTAAGGATTTCTGATACATAATGCATATCAGACCTCTTTGAAATGACATCCTATTAAATTGGAAGATTCAAATGTAAAGTGGAAGAGAAAGGTTACAGAAATAATGAAAAAATTTATTACATAATCCACCTCCTTCTGAATAAAACCAAAAGTCATGTTGCTGTATAAAATGCAGAACTAATATGCAAGTATCTTTCAGCATGTTTTGTTATGTAAATGACGAAGAATTCTAAGAAAGGCAGGAAAAAATATATGGTGGTCTTTCCCAGAACAGTCTCACACGAGGGACAAATATACAATATTAGTGGAGGCCACATGGAAATGCCTTGGCCATAAAACAGAAAAGAAAATTAAAAATAAAACATTCCAGAGAACACAACAGACTGAACTTCCACTATTCTGAAACCAGCAAAAAGAAATAATTCAAAACAATTTAAAAATTAAATGGTTTTGCAAGTGTTTATATTTAACCATATGAGCAACCTGATCTAGTTGGAAAATTTCCCTGCTCATTGCAGTGGGGTTGGACAAGATGACCTTTAAAGGTTCCTTCCAACCCAAACTATTCTATGATTCTATTTTTTTTTTAATTACTACTTTTATTTGAAAAATTCTGACCATCCCAAATCACTTCAGAAACTTACATTGTTTTCAGAAAAGTGTAATTTCCAAACAATAATATTCCTTCCCTGATATGAATGCCAACAACCATCATTTCAGCTTATTTTGTAAGTGAAGGAAAGGCTCTGCAAGGAATCTCAGTGCTGCAGCAACAAACATGTAAGCTGGGCAATTAAGATCCAGGGAGGGGTAAATTATATTTTCACACACTTCTTCCAGGCATTTAAACGAAACCCAGAACAATGAGAACAATCTCTCAGGTGAGCCTGAGATCCAAGATGGCAGGGCTGTAGGATACACCTCAGTCCTGACGCACTCCAACCTCACCCAAGCACTGCCCTCAAATCCAGGCATGCAGCAGGACTTCTGAGAGGGATCAGAGGGACAGCATGGTACTGCGGAGGTTTGCAGTTGCTATCCCAAGAAATCCTCCTTTCCCCCAAGTTCAGTGCAGGATAAAAGGATCTGAATCGGCTTGAAAATCTTATCTCTCTTTTTTTTTTTTCCTCCCACGCATAAGTGCAAAAAGCTTTTAAAGGTCATATTCCACTCCTGCACGCATATCTAAGAGCTTCATCCTATGTCAGGTTAATTTAAAAAAAATACATTAAGCTCCCAATGTAGAATTTGACACCACTGCTTTTGCAATCTTATCATAATATTCCATTACCCGCTTTAGATCCCCCAACGCTGCAAAAGCATTATCTAAGAGCAGCCATTACCTCTTCGTCCGTGGCGGTCCTGGCAGTTCTCTTGAAGGCAGGAGCCCCACACCGACCAGGCAGACACCACGCACTCGGACGGGCATGGCAGGTTACACAGCTGGGAGGTGGAGGGAGCAGGACCCAGGCACAGCTTCCCATCAACTGGTCTAGTAACTAAGAGAGAAAAAAGAAAGGGAAAAAAAGAAAAGCAGGGCTGTAACTTTGCCCTGACCAATGCACAGAGCTCGGGAGTTTACTGCTGGCCTTAGCATTACAGAATGCACCAAAATCCAGTGCTTTTTTAGGGTCTTACCTCCCAGAGCAAAAGGTTAATCCTCTGTTCAGCAAGGCATGTAAAAAATTTTAGATAAATCATCCATATTCAGCAGGCTAATTAAGACTATGCTTAATGGTAAATGGATGCTTTAATAATAAATTCAATGCTGATTTTCTACAATGCTGGAGCAACAAACTGGAATTTAATCCCCTGCATTTACAGCCAAGGAGACCTCTTTACACTACACCAAAGAGAAAGATGTGTAAGAAAGAAACACAAAAAGCTCATGCTGCAATTGGGAGCCAGGCAGAGGCAGGTGACAGCAAGCCTGAGCATGGGGGAATCGTCCCATACCCATCCCCTTCATGAGTGCTGCCACCTCTAGATTACAGATTCTTTATCTATTTTCAGTAAAACTGAGCAGAGCTCTCAGTTTCTTCTACACAGGCATCTGCAGAAAGCACCTCTTCTGCCTGGCAGGCGAGACATTTACTTGAATTGCCTGCACCCAAGGCAAGCATGGATCTCCAAACCTCTTCATCCAAGAGATGAGCCAACCCCAAACTCTGCCAAGTACCAGTTTAGTTGATATTGACAATAAATTTGGAAAGCTGATTCCCTTTGTATTTTCATTTATCATACGAGATTTCTAGTTTCAATTAACTTCTCTCGCCTTTTTATTTGGGGCAGAGGGAGGAAGAAAAAGAAGGGGAAAGACTCTTAAATCTATCTTCTGAGTCATTATATGATATTGCATTTTAATTACATTATGGGATGAATTTGGCTGTCTCTTCAGATAAATCAGTATCAAAGCAGTCTTTCAAAAGGCAAAGGCTTGTTTGAGTTTACTCTGCCATGGTATTGCCAAGACTTCATTAATTTTTATAGCTACTGAGTCTGCTTTATCCTCATTTTTATTTTTAATGTCTATTTTTCTTTGCTTCCATGCATGGAATTGACTTGAAAAGAATTCATAAAAATATGCCCAGTATATAAGTAATCTTTTTCTTTTTCTAATATTTTACCGTTTTCTTTAAAATGAATCATTTGAAGAAAAATACAACTTTTTTTCTTTTTAAACACAAGACTTCAGTGCTCAAAATCCCAATAAATTTTGATTTGCACATCCTGAAGCTGGGACTTCAGACCAGTATCAGTGCTCATGATTCCAGCTCACCAGAAAAACAGGATTAAACAACATGTGTGATTTAATTCTAAGCTGAAAGACAATATGTTAGTAAAAAAGGACTATTTTCTGAATGATTGCTGAGACACTGTAAGGCCTTTGACATGTTCATTTAGAGATTACAACAAAGGGGCATAAATCCAATTCACCTGAATGCTAACATAAACAGACCTTTTCTAGAGACCTTGCAAGTGAAGTGACAGACGGAATGAAGTAAGTATTAGTTTTAAGGATAAGAGTATTTCTTTTATCAAGAAGTCTCATGGATGGCTTAACCTGCCTTTCAGCATCAAACTTTGCAAAACTGTATCATTTTTTGAGAGTTCACTTGAAGAAATTAAAGGAAATAAAGTTGAGTGCAGATGGTCAACCCAAGGAATAAAGTCCAGTCCTACTCTGCTCTAAGTCAAGGCGTCGTTGTTAGCAATGACTCTTTTCACCTCACTGATTTTTAGATTGTTTTCATATTGCAATTTAACTATTTAAATGTGGAAGACACTAGATAAAGCAGGTTGGTTATCCTGCCTTGAAAACTAACCAGCTACAACCAGTGGTGCCGAGGATATTTTAAATTGATTTTGCATAAAAAAAACACACAAGGAAAATTGATTACAGAAAGTTAAAGGGGCCGGTTTTTGATGGTAGGCTGAGCCTACCAGCTGTCCCAGACTCCTTCCAATTCTGGAGGAAATCCCTGCGTTCCTCTCCCTGCCAACCACCTTCCTGCTCCTCTTCCTCCCTCAGGCTGATGCCGTATTTAATTCTAGCACTGGGAGCTCTTTTCCCAGGACTAACATCCTACTTGTCACTGGAATAAGACTGCTTGTTTACTCACATCCTTAAGTAATTCTATATATTCTGTAAAATGTAAATCAGAAAATACACAGACTATTCTAATCAAATGCCCAAATACATATTCTAGGTCTGTGCCAGCTTATACTCACTCTACACTGACTACAATCCTCCAGTGAAAGTCTTCAGGAATAAAACAAGAACAAAAAGAAACCAGGTGCATTAATAAATGCATATACAATACCATCCTTTTCCAAAACCAAGCAGGTACAGAGAGACACAATTTCCAGCACAATAGCCCAAGCGATTGGATGGATCAGGAGGATCCTCTATAAAAGAGTTTCATCCCTTCTTCACCCACTTGATTGACAACTCTGATTTCCATGAGTTTTATCTAAAAGTTTGATGTGATTTTCTATTGCTATTCTTTCATATTCTAATAAATATCTATCTTTTTTTTTAATGAACTACAAGGTGAGGTTTTTTTCTATAAACCTTTTAAGTGCCAAAATTCTTACACACTGCAGCCTCCAAAAAGGCACAGATAGCCTGGCTAGAAATGCCCTGTTCAGGAAAAAAAATCACATTATGCCTCTGATAAATGAACACAGCTGCTAGGACTGTCTTTAGGTACCAGTCAGCCTTCTGATTTTGCTCAATAATCGAATCTGCAATGGCATTTTCCCACATTCCTATAGAAAAAGTGCTTTTTGTGTAATTATTTTCCTTGGAAAAATATTAGCCACTTTTTTGGGGGAAAGGGAAAGGCAGAAACCAAGGAAGAGTGGGAAGAGGAGGCAATATCTCTCATTCAAGTAGCAGCTTATTTATTACGCTTGTTCGTACCTTTTAAAATCCTGTGTTCTTCCCAATCTATAGAACAAACTTGAAAAAGCAATCAAGTACTAATCTGGGAGCCTCTGAAACATTGCACATTTCTATAGCTGTTATATTGAATCTATCCTTTATAAATGCGACTACAGCTGTTCCCAGCATCAGTGTCTGCCTCAAGTTTGAATTTTACTATTTGCTCTTATTTTCAGGTTATTGCTACCAGCAGGAGATAATAAATTGGGTTCTAAAGTATCTTGTTTCCCTATATATTTTTACTGAGGTAGTGATTTGGAGGAAGAGCAGTAGAGGAAATCAGCTTTGATATGATTATTTCCATAATGTAATTTTAAGCCAATAAATAAATTATCTGCGAATATAGTCATATGGACACATACTTGCAGGTATACATACCAACACTACGTTAAAAAGCAATGATGACCAGACAGAGGGAGAATGTATAGGATGGCATTTTGGTTGAAGTGATTCCTTTCAAAATTAGTTTTTCAACTCCTCATGAGGTAAATAACAGGTTTTTTCCCTGGACCTTAACTTTTACAATAAAACCCCAAATATTTCTGATATTAACACCTCAGTGAGACATTTCTAAATATCACTAACATATCTGGAATACATGCAAAGAATATTAGGACTGTCTCTTATATACTGGCACAGCCATATTTTAGCCAATATTCAATTCTCCAGGCAATAAATCCAGATGTTTATTATATCTTTTGGCAAAATTAAGCCAAATTAATGATTGCCAGGGTGCAAGAAAGGGACAGCATATCTTTGTGAAACTTCCTACTGCCTTTGCCAGGACTTATAAACCAATGACACTTGGATCAATACAAAGGGAAATTATTTGAGAAAATCACAAAGAAACAAGTTGTGTTACAAAAACACCTACATGTGTAAAACTTAATAGGGATAAGCCCAGCATAACATTTGTAAGTAATTTCTCTAACCTGAAGGACTTGTTTTTATATCAAAAACAAAAGATTAGACAAAGGAGAAGTGGTGAATGTAATTTAACTAGCCTGGAAACGGCACCAACCTCAGTCTGGTGCATCCCTCCATTAAAAAAGCCTAATGCACCCCTGCCTGATGGAACAGGTTCCTTTATGCTTTCAAGAAGAATCAATTAGTTTTGAAGCCACAAGGCACAAAGTTGAAGTCCTATTTTCAATTAAAATCTATTTAATAGACAAGAAACAAAGTACGAATAGAAGGCTAATCACAGCATGAAAGAGGGTTAATAGCAGATTGCCAAGAGCAACAACGGTTTAATGTATTAATGTGTTTCAGAACAATAAAGATCCTGGCAATTTTATTAAACTGACACAGACTATTAGCACTTCATGGAATGGAAAGTTTCCCTGTGTCCGTACCCTCTGCTGTACAATGTGATCCTGATCCCAGCTGGGATACTGTCTTGGTTTGCTACAGCAGAATTTGTAGAGATTAACAACAGAAACAGCAGATATGGCAAAAATTCAGAGTGAGCATGGGGCTTTCCACCAGCAGTCACAAGAGTAAGCAGACCAGAGGTGACAAGTCATTAAGAGTGTCCAGGAAAAACAGTGGAGGCAACAGGGATGCTGGGATGAAGGCAATGACAGGAAGGAAAAAGAAAGATTTTCCAGGATGTGTGAACCTTGTTGGCTGTTGTCTGGAAAAGGCCACCAGATGCTGGAAGTTACTGGGACAGACCACGAGAGAAGGTGAGAGAAGCAACAAAGAAAACAGGGAAGGAAACCCAAAGGGGATATACTTCATTAAATCCTTGTGTGAGTTTGAACTTTGCCTATTGCTAAGTTTAGCATTCATTCAACAGGAAGGAACACCAAGGAGCAGAAGCCTGCCCTGTGAATGCCGTTTCACTGGATGAGAACCATTGAGCACCATTTCACTGGATGAGCACCACTACGGACACGTCTATGATACGGGGATGTGGTACAGGGGGCCCAAAGCTAAGCTAGTGACACGCTAAGCTAGTTCACTCATGGCATGGCCATGCCAATTCAGATCTTGCAAGCAGCAGGGCTGCTCCATGCAGAGCTGGCCCAAGTTCACATGCTCAATTTA